GGGGCTGGCTTGCAGCGCGGCCCCGGCCTCCCCGGCACGGCCGGGCCCTGGCCTGGCCCCTCTCCCCCCTCAGGCCCTTTCGCTGCGGGGTGACAGGAGGGGGTTTCCTCGGGCAGGAGCCCTTTTGGCGGCCTGTCCCCGGGCGAGTTCTCTCAGGCAGTGCTGGACGTGTCCTTCAGTAATCTTAAAGATGAAGGAGGCTCATGCTCGCAGTGCTCAGGTGCAGCCTGCCACTGTTCTTCGACGGCAAGGCTCATCTGGCTTAAATCTTCATCCCCTCAAAGCAGGGAATGCAATGGCTTCTCTAAAAATAGATGCTTCGTTTTGAAAATAGATGGTTAGGTTGCAGCTTGCCAAATAAACGCCACTTTATAGCTTTGCTAGGGCTGGGTACTTTTGTGGGTTTGGGGCGATATTCTGCTTTTTTTTCTCCTATTCCTGAAGAAGCAGCTCTAATTTGATTCGGGCTGCTCCATATTTTTGGGCACTAAAACAGTGCCGTGTCAGTGACAGGCTGGAGATCCTGAGTCAGGGTGCCAGTGTGGCACTTGGATGTTGAAGGGTGAAGCGTAAATTATGATGAGTCAGAACCTTCAACCTGTGTTTTGATTCGCTTGCGTGGAATTTTTTTCATCTTGTGATAAGATCTGACATAGTGTCTAACGGGAATCTAGTTTCGTGCTCCAGAGTTTGCTCTTGGTTCCCGCTTTGTACAGCTGTGAACTACTGGCTTGAATTTGGAAATTCTAGTGCCAAAAATCTCATCGTTCCTCATTCTTTCTTGGCAACATACTTCATTATCAGCTGCAGCTATGGAGCAGGTTGAACTTGTAAGCGGTGGGAGCTCTTACCCCATCTTTGAGATTTCACAGGAGGGCAGCGGGCAAATGGAAGCAGTGACAATGTTAGTAATAGGGCTTTGTCTGCTTTCATGTGGAGCTTAAATCAGATTTTGTGACTAGTGGATACTGGCATCCCCACAGAGAGAAGTAACAGGGAGCTGTGTGGAATACGAGTAAACTGTATATACATCTGGAATACAAGTAAACTGCAAATACATCTGTACTTGTGGCATGTTTTGGTGCCTACATGTGGTGATAGTGAGGAGAAAGAACTAAACCTGAGAAATTACGACTAAAAAGTATCCTGATACGTTTCCATACTGTTTTGGAGCAGTGCTCTTATTTCTGTTACAGGACTCTTTCAAGTTCAGGGAACGCTGATATTTCTGTGATTGTTACTGTACTTTTGAATTTTTTTGTGTATTGTTGGAGCTGTCAAATAATACATCCGTCTCTTCCTTTACATTTAGTTTTTGTTCTGTTTGTCACAAAACTACCACTTGAATTTGAAGGGAACTGGTTTAGTTGTTATTGGAAAACAAGACAAGCTTCAATAAGACTTTCATGGAAGACTGCCATGAAAATCTGTCTGCTAAAGCTAATGCTGCCTAGATATCAAACTACAAATGTGTTTTCTGTAACAGCATAACTATCTTGCATTTGAAGGGAACTGGTTTAGTTGTCATTGGAAAACAAGACAAGCTTCAGTAAGACTTTCATGGAAGACTGCAATAGAAATCTGTCTGCTAAAGCTAATGCTGCCTAGATATCAAACTACAAATGTGTTTTCTGTAACAGCATAACTATCTTAGTCATCTTGTCAGTGTTGTTAGAGTTAAGTTTTAATTTATGTACACAGTTTTCTATTTTTGTGCCTGTAAAGCACGTGAACTTGTGTTTTGAGAGACAAACAATGGCCAATTCAGTTATAATAGGTTATACAGCAAGGTGTGGCGTGTTTGTTTTTTGTTAAATCAATTCGGAGTCCGTTTCCCACCTGTACAGCAACTGGCTGCAGTCATTTGAGTGCTTACCTAGTTAGTGGTTTTGATGGGTCTGATTCGTGATGGGGTGTGATTGTAAGCAGGAGCGCTCACCTGATAGAGGCTGTCTTCAGTTCTGCAACGTGGGGAGCGCTGTGTGTGGAACATGCTTGTCCATCCCTTTGGTGTTGCAGACAGAAGAAGTGCTAGGTGTAGGTTTTCTGTAATTTTTATACCTGCAATGAGGAAGCACTTTTCCCCTTCAGTTCAATAAAATAAATAAAAATGTGTGTTTGTAGAACTGATTTGGCAAGTAAGCAGTTAACCAGGGCACTGGTATAGTACCTCAGAAGATAATCTCTTATTTTGACAATTCTGTTGTAGTTCTGATTAGAGTCTGGTAGATAACGTTGTAATGTGTCAATAAAATATGTCAAAATTAGTCTGTTTTTGTCCTCTCTTGTTGAGTTCTACAGTTTAAGTTCTGAGATGGAAGACTGTTCTTTGTAGGGTTAAACATAGGCAAATCTTTTGCAGCAGTATTTCTTGTTTTTAAACTCAACACTTAAAAAAAATGCAGTGCAATTTTGCTTGTGAGTTGTAGGACTGGAATTACAAAACAGAATTTGCTGTTCCAGGTCTGCCCCCCCACCGAATGAAGAGCTCTATTTGAAATAAATGAATAGGTATGTTAGTGCTAAAGAGCTGTAGCTTGGTTTTATTTCAGATCATCCAGAGTGTCACGGTTTCTAGGCCTAGCGGAGGGAAGGAGGATGATGCTCCCGTGGGTGGCTTTTTATAGCACTTCCAAAAAAAGAAATCTATTTGTTTTCTGACGATTTATTCTTGAATGGAGGGATGCAAGTCTTCTCTTGTGCCTCCCCAGGAAGAGGAGCTGTACGCGTGCCAGCGAGGCTGCAGACTGTTTTCCATTTGTCAGTTTGTGGACGATGGCATTGATTTGAATCGAACCAAACTGGAATGCGACTCTGGTAAGACTTCAGTACTCCTTCAGCATCCTGTAATGTGGGGACTTTACAGAGGGAAGAGCAGGAACGTCTGAAAGGGTGGTGTTAAATTGGTGGTGTTACTTCAGTTGCTTTCTGGTTTTGTTTAACAATTTCTTGAGGTTTATGTACAGGATATAAAACAAGCATCTTAAAGAAACGTTGTCTGTTCTCTACGAGTTTCTTCTTACCTGAATCTTAGTGTTCTGTTCTCCTGAATTTCTTAAGTGTCATTGGTCTCTGTAAATAAATCAGTAATACTTCATTTTACTATAAATAGTTTGTCATAGAAAACACAAAATGGCTGAGGAAAGAAAGTCCAGTCAAATTAACACTTTTCCTTTAGCAATTCTATGCGACAATCAGTCCCATTTACGATTCCTGACAAACTTGTGTATAAAAGCGAATTGTTCAGGCAGAGTAAGAACACAGATCTTAATGTGCTGTCTGCCTTGCAACTTGTAGTCTAGGCTACGCCCTGAGGTTTACGTACAGCTAAACTCTTGGGAATGAGGTACGTGTTTTGTTTGAAATAGGACACTGAATGCTGGTGACTAATTCTCTCAGATTATCTGTGGTAGAGCAAAAATTTCACAGCGAAGATGAAATATGTGTACTGTAGGCCAATGAATAGTGGCTTTGGAATTGTATAGAACTTTCATCCGATAATGCTGAGGCAGCTGATTCACGGTTTTATTCAGAGATGAAGTGGGACATAACCACCCAAAGCAGGAAAGGTAGGAGCTCCCATCTGCATAAGTCAGCACTCCGCGGAGGCTTTTATCCGCTCAGTAGCTCACAAAACAGGAGGGCTAGTGGCTGGCTCAGAGAGCTGGTGGAAGGTATGCAAGTAGAAAGCCTGACACGCAAAGATGCTAATGTGATACAAAACTGCATTAAATACTCTAGAAATGGGCTAATGCTCTAGTCTGTCATACACTCTGTATAGCTGTGATACAGCATGTCAGTCTACTTGTCAAACCACGCATGAGAGAGTGCCATGTAAAAGGGTAATGTGGCAATAGACCACATGTAGAGGTAATTGAACAGTTGCTTACTTTCTGGTTTAGCTCTCCTTTCTGAGGCTGTTGTCTTTTGCTGGCTTATGTTCTATAAGCTGTTACACTGGTTGGTGCCCTGACTAAGTATTCTGTGCTTGGCAAGGTACATCTTGGCTGATCTGCTCAGTTCTGGCTGCTGATGCTTCTTTATGCCTGCAAACACTAGTGTGGTGGCAGTTTTACTGTGGAATTGCTGTTCAGGTGCTATGAGCTGAATACTCAAATGTTTAGCTGCTGATGCCATGCTTCCTGCCAGCTTCTTAGCCTTTATGATGGTTGATTTGTTCCTGTGGAAAACTGGGAGAGCTACTGTCGTCTGTTTTGCTGCTTGGTTTGAGTCTTTAGTTCGGGTAGTACTGCAGCATTGTCCACCTACGCTTTAGAGTTTTGGGGAGGAGCTATGCCCATGTATTGCCTGCCTGATTTCTCCGTGAGCAGGATAATCTAAATTACTCTCTCTGAATAATTTAGATTTCTTGGTCTTTATGATCTCTAGTGAACCATTAATAGAAGCTATTTGTAAAACAAAGAGTTATTCCATAATACTTTCAATGCAGTTTCTGTACTCCACACACTAGCAGGAAAATGGTCCTTTGGTTTTGCTGTGATACCATGACTTCTGTTGTTACCTCGTAGGGATTTAATGGACTGATGGTCCCTCTGTTCTTTTTAGGATTCCACCTCTATTCTCTGAGGTAAAAATTCATGGTTTACACGGTATGTAGAAGAAACACTGAAGTCCTAGTGGGAGGGTCAGTGAAAACTTGTGTCCCTGAGTCTGACCAGGGTAACATTTCTGATCAGTTGATCTGATTGCATTCAGATTTCAGCTACCTCATCTGTCCAAGCTCTGATTCCTTAACGTTCATTAGACCTCAGAGCAAATGCTCCCTTGAAGCGACTGCCATATCTTTCCCTGCAAATGGGATTGTCAGTCCTTTAACTGCTGCTTTGTTTCTGATCCAACTTATACTGAAAATGTTTTCTTAACTAAAATGCAGAGTTTATCTTCTCATTTGGGGAACTTCTTCCTTGCAGCCTGTACTGAAGCATACTCCCAATCTGATGAACAATATGCTTGCCATCTTGGATGCCAGAACCAATTGCCATTTGCTGAGTTAAGGCAAGAGCAAGTAAGTAGATGACATGTTTTTCAAATACCACCTACTTGTTTTCTGTTCAGTGTGTCTTCTCTTTTTTAAATTTCTTCAAATGGAAGATAAATCTTCCTAAGGGCTGAAATCTAGGCATGGGGCGAGGGGTGAGCCAGACATGACTTCTGTCCTTTTCATAGAAAAACAAATGGAAAAGCAGTTAATGTTGTGCTTGCAGTTAATGTCCCTGATGCCAAGAATTCATCTCCTCTTTCCTCTGACACTGGTGAGGTCATTCTGGAGTGACATGATGGATTCAGCTCAGAGCTTCATAACATCCTCATGGACTTTCTACCTTCAAGCAGATGATGGCAAAATTGTCATATTCCAGGTGCTTGCCTTTTTTGTTGAGATTAAGGTGTTCTGGCTGCTAAATGTTTAACTGTGCTCCTTCCAGTCACAGAAAAGACTGTGGAGCACTGTCAGAAGTGGATTTTTCATAGTATTTCACTATCTTTAGGGCCAGTGCAGGGGAAAAAGAAAAAATAAAATCAAACTTCTGTGAATGGTGCATGTCTTACGGTTAACTTCTGTATCAGGTCTGAAAATCTAAATGATAAAGATCCGTGGAAGCCTGCTAGCAGGATCTCCTAACTCCTTGTTTTGTTTTAGTCAAAGCCAGAAGTACAGTATGTTCCACAGCTTGATCAGGAAACTGGAGATACAAGAGGATCCTTGTGGCTGAGTAAGACAGCCTGTAAGTTGTGCTTTGTGCTTCGGACGAGCAAATGCAAATGTTCCCTGTTATGCAAGAAAAAAAAAAAAAAAGTTGCAGGGGGTACATAAAAGCAAACTTTTAGAAAGCTGAAATAAAATTGTTTGCCGTGTAGGCAGTGCTGTGTATGCTAAGCACAGTCTGTGGTAGAAACCCAGCTCTGCTGGAAATAGAAACATGCAGGCTAGGGCTGTTTTGAAATCTTCCATTTGTGCTCTCTGTATAAACAAACCGTATGGCATTTGGGTCTTCTCTTCTGCTGCTTTCCTGACCACTCTTTCTGCGGTTGTATTTCAGCGGACCTACGTCCAGGAAGTTCACAGACGTACCGAGGACTTTTTGAAGAGCGAGAAAATGACAGCTTTTTCAAGTGTCTTTCCATGTATGTGTATTCCAGAATGCCTGTACCTAGTGAGCAGGGTGATGGCCTTTTGTGTTTGTATAGGGACACGGTTGCAAGACCTCAAAGTGCTGCAAGTCTGTTAGGTTCAGGATGCGTAGCAGTTAAAATTGTGTGTCTGACTGTTATTGCTGCTTTTCTGTGCTGGCCCCATGTTATTTGCAGGCTATTCTGCCAGCTTTGATTCTCCTTTCCATTTCAGTCAGACATCATATTGGTAATTTCCTACCCTGTTTTTCCAGTGTGTTCTGTGAACTGTTTAATCAGTCCTGTGTTTTGCCTGTTCTTTAGCTCTGGATGTGTTTCAGGGCAAAGCACTTGTTTTATATTTTGTTTTGGGATTGTCTCAT